GATACAAATTCAAATTGAACAGATACAAATTTGAAATTGAACCTGTTGAAACAGGTTTGAACTTGTCCAAATCTGCTGGGAAGATTTAAATCTGTTTAGAACAGTTTAATCTATTGAAAATGGAAGGGAATTTCCCACTAGATGTGGTACATTTTGGACAAAAAATTGAATTCAAATTTAGCGCAAAATTTGAATTAATTTCGTTTAGAAAAATAATTTTCCCACAAGAATTTTTGAAAAAAATTCAAACAAATTTTGTCCAAAAAATTAATGTAAGGACCCAGAACCCAGCTGGACGAACAGACGACGGTGGCATCGTGCACGTGGTGGTTTGAGCCAAGACTTACTTTGTTCATAACTCTTCCCTTCTACAAACTTGTGGTGCCCCTTGAGGCGCAACCCATGTATTCCTGCATAGAACTTATATACACACATAAGTTCTCTTTCAGTTTCAATGTGGGACAACTATTTCAAGAAAACCTACATGTTACTTCTTTAATTGTCTATTCCACAAACCTGAAAATGATATCAACTTTCCATTCACTTATAAATGGTTTTGATGAACTGTCTTCACTGTATGACTTGCCATGCGGCAAAAAACACGTCATCTCTTTGGGCCCATCCCAAAAGATGTGTAAGCCCCACTCAAATTTGGGTCAAAATTGACCTAAAATAAGCCTATAAAAAATCATGATTCCAACAAAAATAAGTTGAGAAAAAATAATTCTTAAAGAGTAGACAGTGTTTTAATTTTTACTTTTTGATTATAAGTTTTCAACATACCAGAAGTTGCACTAACCTGCCTTTCGTTCATTTGTTGCCAATGTGTGCATTATAGGCTCTCTAGTAATTGGGATAATAAGGTTGCATATATTTTATTATCTCCCACTCTACTTTAATAAAAATCTCGTCGTGCACTGACGGGTTTTAGAATTGTAAAATAAACAAGCTATTCGAGTTTAACTCATTAAAACTCATGCAAAATAGAATTTGTCAGGTAAACAAATTAAAATTGAAACTCATGCAAGATAGATTTTGTTACGTAAACAAATTAAAATTGAACGCATTTTCAAACTTGTTAAATTTTTAATTGAAATTTAAACAACATAGCACTTGATTCAATTAATTTAAATAATATATCTTGTGTTCCAAATTTTGCAATAATGCTGACTAAATGTACTATTGCTTGGTCGTCCAAATCAGGTAGATCCTTTTAGGTAACTTAAAATTTTGTTGGTAATGACTAATGAAAGCACCTTAAACTAGAGGCACTACAAAAAAAAATTAAAGTTTTAGAAACTAAAATTTAGCGATAATTATTTTTTAGGGATCAAATAATTTTGTTATGAAAAGTGTCATTATATTTTTAGCAATAAAAATTAGACATTAGTGATGAATTATTATCCTTTTGGGATCAAAATTTTTATCTCAAAACATAAACTATTTTGAGGCCAAATTATTTTGTCTCTAAAAATCTATTTATTAGTGACATTTTTAAAATTTTGTCGCTAAAAGCCTTATTTTTTACTTTTCGGGACGATCTTTTAGCGACTACCTTCGTGACGATGAAACTTGGTCCGATGAAACTTGGTCCCTAAATATCTTTTGCAACAAAATTTTCATTTTTAAAGACTAAAACATTTGATCTCTAAAACTCTTTTATGTTTTAGTGAGAATACATTATTGCTAAAGTTTACTAAGGATATAAATAATAAATCATCATTTTCTCTAGCAGCAATAAATCTTGTGTTCAAATTTTATTATTTATCCAGCAATTATAATATTTATACATATTTTTTGATTATAGAAGAGACAAAGTCCCGCATGGTCTTTGCATTCCATTCGATTATGACATAGGGGGTGTTTGGCAAGAAAAAAAATAGCCTAGTTTAGGCTAAAATTCACAAAAAGACAAAATAGGCTAAAATAGCTAATAAGACAAAATATCACATCAAACCCATAATCATTTCACTTTTTCTCTCACAAACATCACATTCAACCACAAAAAAATCCAATCATCTTCTCAAATACAAAAATTTTAGCCTACTAAAATAGCCAAAAACTAAAATAGCCTACTAAAATAGCAACTTGCCAAACGAAACCATAATGTGATTTTAAGTTAAATTTTTAGTTCCATTATGCATCTTGTTTGATTACAATGTGATGTGACTCAAATTGTAATCCAACTGTATTGTATGATAATTTTAATGAGTTAGTAAGTTGTAATTCAAAGTTATTGCATTCCATTCGATTATGACATAATGTGATTTTAGGTTAAATTTTTAGTTCCATTATGCATCTTGTTTGATTACAACGTAATGTGACTCAAATTGCAATCCAACTGTACTGTGTGAAAATTTTAATGAGTTAGTAAGTTGTAATTCAAAGTTATTGCATTCCATTCGATTATGACATAATGTGATTTTAGGTTAAATTTTTAGTTCTATTATGCATCTTGTTTGATTACAACGTGATGTGACTCAAATTGCAATCCTACTGTATTGTGTGATAATTTTAATGAGTTAGCAAGTTGTAATTCAAAGTTAGTGGGGCGTTTGGTGTGGATTATTATCAATTAAAAGTTGATAATCAAGAAATTGTAAGCAGAAGCATCTACTTCCTAACTTCTAACTAATTAGTTTTTCTCAGCATATTTAAGTTATTTCTGTCTAAAAAGCTATAAGCAGAAACTACACCAAATAATTTGGCACAAATTTTTAAATTAAAATAAGTTATAATCATCCCTATAATCTACACCAAACACCCTCGGGGCGGTATCTAACGTGCTTTGCTTTGTATATAACCATTTAATTACATTATGGCTTTATTTGGCATGTGGTTTTTTATTTTTTATTTTTTTTGGTTAAAATTTATAAAAAGATTTGGAGTTTGGAATGTTCTAAATAAGTGCACTTTTTTGACTTTTTAAGAAATATGAGTTGAATTTGAAGTGATATGTTAGAGAAGTGATGTGACTTAAATAGGATAGTGACTTTTTGACTTTTTTAAGAATTGCCAAACCTAACCAAAATAAGTAATAAGACAAAATATCATATCAAATTTATAATCATTTTATTTTTATTTTTTACAAATATCACATCTAATTTTAAAAAAAAATCTAATCATCTTCTCAAATACAAAAAATTTAACCTACTAAACTAACTAAAATTAAAATAGTCATTTCTCAAACTACGCCTATGTCATAATAAAAATTACATGGCGAACAGAATAATTGAAAGGAGCAAATACCCAAACTAAATTTGTGATTTTATATCATGGAATTACAAACTTGATATTAATTCATAAAACGAAATTCTTTACTGTTGTCAACAATAAAAAATAATAAACAATATAAAGAGACATAAATGCCTTTAAAATAATTTAAGGACAAAATGAAAGGTTTAATTGATGGGCTGATAAGAGGCTGGAAAAAGTCGATATCAATATATATATTGTTACTCATGTACATTCCGACCGCATAGCGCAGTGGATTAGCGCGTCTGACTTCGGATCAGAAGGTCGTGGGTTCGACTCCCACTGTGGTCGTTTTTTGTTTTTTTCATTTTTATTATTATTTTATCATTTAACTTACAAATCCATTTGAACCCTTTCTTTGTTTATTTATCTAAAAGTAAAAAAATTAATTTATTTTTCTCCATTTTATTATTACTTTGTCATTTAACTTACAAATCCATTGAACCCTTTCTTTGTTTATTTATAGGTTGTTTGAGAAGTGCTAAATAAATATATTTTTTACAAAAAAATGTGTAAAAAAATAAATATGTAATATGACTCAAAAACGATAAAAAGATGTACTATTTTAGTACATATCAAACAATTCCTTATTTAAAAATTAAATTAATAAAATAAAAATAACTTACAAATCCATGCAATACCTCGCAAACCTTGCCGTCGAGAATGCTACCAACATCATATTTATTTTTCTCATTGAACCCTTTCTTTGTTTGTTTATTTAAAAATAAAAATTAATTATTTAAAGGAAAATCAAATTCATGCACTTACTCGCAAATCTTGCCATCAAGAATGCCACAAACATCATATGTATCATCGCATTTATAACAGTTTCTCCACATTACGGGACATACAATATCTTTTTCTTTCTCTTCCGACTTGTCATAAAAAAAAAAAAAAAAAAAATCCCTTAAACTAAAATAATTATCTTATTTTTAAGAAATTTTATGCTAATGGTATGTCTAACTAACAGTTGAGATGAAAATAATTACATGGCTCCTAAAATGAACAAAACGGTGAAAAATAATAAAATATCGTTAAATGAACATTCGATCATGTAGTGTTGGTGATTCATGTGATAATTTCGGCTATGCAGAAATATTTGATACAAACACTTGGGCCTATGTGTGGGCTAATTCAGACAAATATGTAGATCAAAATGATGGCCCTTTCTATTTCCAAGCTCGGAGGTACTAAGGGAAATCTTGCTTTAGGCCTTGTAAAGTTGCATGGCCCAAGGGATGAATTCATACCATTGTTTGTGTTACATGAATCACTTTGGTTCATGCTACACTAAATCTTCTACAACTTCAAATTTTTATTTTTAATCTTTTATACTTATTATTATTATTTAAATTGCATTTGTGTTAGCTTTGATTTGGAGATTAAGAACACAAATCTTTATATTTATCTATGATTATCACAAAATCTCTTTCACCGATATAACATGACGTGAGTAGAGAATTGTTTAACTTATTTTGTTCTTTTTTCAGCATTAAATTGTTTGAGCTTAGCTCAATTCAAATTGCAAAATGCTTGAATGAACAAAAAAAATTAACTGAAACCAAATTATTCATAAACAGCTAAATATTAGCTCACCGGAGGTGTTTGAACGAGCCAAAAATCGACCCGAGCCCACATTACATGGATCGGGTTGGGGGATCAAACGGGTCGGGTTCAAATTGTCACTGGCTGCGAAGAATCCGAAATACTGTGCTACTCGATCGCGTATTCTTATAACTACTTTTCAAATCTTTCTCTCTCTCTCTCTCTCTCTCTCTCTCTCTCCTGCTTGACTGCATCTCCCACATGATCGTTCACACCAATCCATCGTTCAGTTTCTCAATCTCAAGCTCTCAATCTTACAAAAATCTCAAGAATTTCAATCCCACAAAACCATGAAACAGTTACACAAACAGTCGACCTCAAATCACAAACGAGAAGAAGTAACATCCTCAAACCAATCACCTCCATACTCACCCAAAGCTCTGAAACACCCCAAATCTCTCTCTCGATCCATCACCTACCTCCTCAAAGAACAGAGACTACTCTTCATCCTAGTGGGTATCCTCATTGGCTCCACATTCTTCATTCTCCAACCCAATCTCTCCAAACTCAGCCCCTCCGAGCCTCATTCTTCGATACCCAGATCGATTTCAGTCTCAGATCGCGAGTCCGTGTCGAATCCCTATGTGGGTTCCGAGAATTATGGTGTTGGGAAGGCTGTTGGGAGGATTCCGGTGGGGATTGGCCGGAGAAGATTGAGAATTGTGGTCACCGGCGGTGCCGGGTTCGTGGGTAGTCATTTGGTTGATAGATTAATTGCTAGAGGTGACGATGTGATTGTGATAGATAATTTTTTTACTGGGAGGAAAGCGAATGTGATGCACCATTTTGGGGACTCGAGGTTTGAGCTAATTAGGCATGATGTGGTTGAACCTATACTGTTGGAGGTGGATCAGATCTATCATTTGGCTTGCCCTGCTTCGCCGGTTCATTACAAGTATAATCCTATCAAGACTATCATATCCTTTTTTTTTGTTTTTATTCTTTTTAGTTTTAAGGTTTTTTTTTTTTGGGGGGGGGGGGGGTTGAATTTGCATATTTGGGTTGAAAGGTGTTTGAATTGAATTCCTTAACTGAAATTACAAGACAAATGTGATGGGTACCCTTAACATGTTGGGCCTTGCAAAGCGAATTGGGGCGAGGTTTTTGATTACGAGTACTAGTGAAGTTTATGGGGATCCCCTTGAGCATCCCCAGAAAGAGACATATTGGGGACATGTAAATCCAATAGGTGAGCTGCAAATGAGCATATTATTTTGTCAGTCTTTTTTTTTTTGGATTTTGTGTATTTCTGTGATGTTCATAATCTGAAAGGACTTGCAAAATGCCTAGGTGTTCGGAGTTGCTATGATGAAGGCAAGCGAACTGCTGAAACTTTGACAATGGATTATCATCGAGGGGCAGGTGTTGAGGTAATATTTTTACAATAATGCTAGGTATCATGAAAACAATGTCATGAAAAGTTTTCATGAAGATTCTCCACCCTTGGATTAGATTATAGTGTTTGTAGTGTTCTATTGTAAGTTATGCATTCACCGTTGGATTAGTTTCATGAAGTTTTTCATAATATTTATTTCATGATATGTAGCATTACCCATATTTTTATGGTAATATAGAGGTTTTCATTTTTATGTCAAGTATTATCATACTCCAGGACTACTACTTCATTCTCAAATGTGATGTGCCATTTTTGCGGTTAGAAAAAAGCTTGCTCTTTTATAAATCCTGTGTCACCTTTGTAAATAGCTTCATATGTTTACAAGGTGTCAGGACTGTCAAATTATTTGATGGATCTCTCTAAGCATAGGGCATACTTCATGTGACCTCAATTTTGAGTTGTCGTTTACGAAATCTATTTTGTTGCATGTAATGGCCAATACAGGTTTATAACCATTTCATCTTATCATGTGTCATTGCACAAATACACTTATAAAGAGAATAAAAATAAAATCCTCACTCAAGGCAAATGGTGTGGTGGTGTTCTAGTATTAGTTAAAACTCAAAACGGTTCAGATTAAAGAGAGGTGCTTGAATGAGAATGATTAGTTTAGTGATTGCATATGAAAGCGAGGTATTACTGGAATGGTGCCGGCTAGTGATTATGTTTGCTAGTCATTTAGACTTACTGGAAAAAAAACAAAAAAAAAAGAATGTCATTATGCAAAATGAGGACTGTGTATTAGACGTACCTCCCTTTATTTATGCATTAAAGAAGTTTCATTTGATAGCATGAAGAAGTTCACAATACTTCTCTTTGCCCCAGCTATATTCAACACGTCTACTTTGTAAAGCATTTTCTTGAATTTTTTTCCCTCCAAGTTTCAGATACATATTTTTCTCTGTGTCTTGAGGCATGTCATTGGTTCAGTCTTGTGCAAACACTTTGCTTCAGATTTTATGTCCTTTGATCATAAAGCAGCACACATAAAGGTGGATGTGCTTTCTTACCAGGCCAAGTTGGCTGTTGTGGAAATAATTTGTGGGTTGTTGGTTGTCACTGAGCTATAAGGAATGATTAGGTTTCATTTGCCTGATAAAAATGTCTAATCTTGGGAATAATTAGAGAAATTTGCTATCATAATAGTTTCATAGCACATAAAGTGATGACTTAGATGTTAATTGGAGTTCTGAATTGTTAATTCAAAATTTAATCCAACTTAATCCAAATTTTTGCTCTCTGCAGGTGCGTATTGCTCGTATCTTCAATACATACGGGCCCCGTATGTGTTTAGATGACGGTCGTGTCGTGAGCAATTTTGTTTCACAGGTTTATTCTCCCGACCCAACTTATCTGAGCGCGCACACAAACACATACACAAACAGACAGCTCCTGACTAAGATTCTTTTTGGTTTCAAAAATGAGAATTCAGTAGATTTTAAACATCAAAATTGGGTAAAAATGTTTGTCTCACCCTTGTCTTGCAGGCCATCCGTAAGCAACCATTGACTGTATACGGTGATGGAAAACAAACACGAAGCTTCCAATATGTATCTGACTTGGTATGTCATATATTTTGTAACTTTTTCTATGCTGCTGCAATTTTTATTATTATTAATTTTTTTTTTTTTGAGACACTTGCGAATGCCTTAACTGTTCATTAGATTATCATAATTCAGGATAGGTCTGATCATCAATCCAATTATGGTCAATGAAAGCAATCCCCATTTTTAGAAGTTGAGGTGATGAATTCCTCCCTCCCTCCCCTTTGATGTTCACAAAATTTCAGAACCGCCTGCAGTAGGACCTATCTAGGGGCTTCCCACTAGGGCTCGTGTGACCGTAGTGCCTTCTTGTTTCTTATTCTTTTGTAAACGTGCGTGCTGTGTCATCATACCTATCTTTATGCTTATAACCCAAATTTGAATATAAAACTAGCAAGTTTTTATATGGAAAAAAGAGAGGGAAAAAGGGCTTTAATTCTTTTAATGTCAATTGTAGACCTATATTTTTTAGAATAAGGTCAGAGATTTGCATCATTCAGAACTCATTTCATTCATTTAGGTTGACGCGATGCGCGATTTTCTTTCTTTTTCTTTTATTTCAATCCGACACAAGTTTATGGAGTTCTCTTTAATGTTTTCAACAACTTTTTTCTTATGTGTTTTATTGGTTACTTAGGCTCCATTTGTTTTGACATAAAATGTTTTTGTCAAAATTATTTTTACAAAGTAAGTAAAACAATTTTTCCGTTGTTTGGTTGAACAAAAAGCAAGTAAAACATTTTTTGTGGAAAATATTTTTGCATCATTTTTTTAAAAATGACTTACCTTTGAAAATGCCGTAAGTCAATTTTTACAAAGCTGACTCTCACTCACTATCTTTTCAACATATTTAGTTTTTTCAAATAAATATCTTACCTAATTAAAAATTCATAAATGACATTTTATTGAATCAAAATTTCTCTTTTAGGCAATAAATGTTTTTGTTTTAAGTGTCAACCAAATGCTGAAAAATAAAAACAAAAATATTTTTTCTGTGTAAAATCAATTTATAAGAAAAATATTTTTTTGTGTAAAATATTTTACGTCGAAACAAACAAAGCCTTAAAAAAATTTTGATTTTTTTTTTTTTTTTTTTTTTTTTTTGTTTTTTTTTTTTTTTTCTGTTGGCCTCATAGAAGTAGAGCTCTTTATTGCTGTTTAACAGTAATACGAAATGAAATGTCTGGATTGAAATTGTTGTAATACCTGTCCCGGCCGTAGTGAATGAAGGAGACAATTTATTCCTTTGATTTCTTGCGAGTCCGAGGTCTATCACGTTTACTTTGAAATCATATTTATGAGACGTTTCATTTCTTCTTTTGGTTTATCATCCTCAACCATTTACCACCTTGATTTATTGACACCAAAGTTTCCATTTTTATTTTATTTTATTTTATCAAATTTATAATCAACAGCAATTTTATCATAATCTTTGATTTGTAGAATTGTTGCATTGTCCAACAGCTCAATGAATAACCCTTCTTATTCCACACCATAAATAACCTGACCTCTAAAAACAAATGCTTTGTTTGGTTCACTGGAATGAAATAAAATGTAATGAAATGGTCATTCCAACATAATGTTCATTCTCACGATTGGCTCACCAAAAATATGATGAAAAATGTATTATACATAGAATCATCGTTTTAAAGGAATGGTCATTCTCACGATTGGTTCACTGAAAAAATGATGAAGAATGTATTTTAGATGGAATCATCATTTTAAAAGAATGGTCATTCCATAAGAAGACTAAGGAATGACCATTTCATTCCATTTTATTTTATTCCCGTGGACCAAACACTACTTAAATGTACAAAATTAAAAATGAATTTTGGCTGGGAATTCTGGAAAACACAAATTTGCTCTTCTTTGTGTTGTCCAAATGTAGAAGTAAGCTTGTAAGATTCATTAAAATTCTTGCAAACATGAGAATCCCTTGTTTGAGAATTTTTATTTTGAACTTTAAAGCTTCGGGTATAGCATAAATAGTTGTGAATATTTAATGAAGCACATGCATTCTTTCTTCAATAGCCACTTTATTCAAGCCCATTTTGCTCTATCAACATTGATTTTTACTAAATAGGTTAAATTTTGTTAAAGCAGGGAGGCACCAGTGTTACCTTTTTCTTGTTTGTCATTTGCTCGACAAAGTTTTGTACATGGCTATTCAGATTGCTATAGGCATCCACTTAGATTTTCTAGAATTCTAGATTCTTGGCCTGGACAAGCAAGCCATTATTATATTGTTGATGGGAAGATTATTTCCCTAATTTTGATAATCAAATTTAGGCAAAGTGTTGTTTCCTAAAGGAAGGCCCAAGTGTATTGGAGGTCAGTGAGCCTACAGAACAGAGGCGTAGTTTCTTGCATTATAATGCTCCTTTCAGTAGGTGTTAAATCAAAGTATTATAACGCAGCGGGAAAAACATTTAGATCATACCTTTAGGTGATAGAACCTGAAGCGAAGAATCTCGTGGGTAAATCACGTGCTTCTAATATGTGAACAACGAACACCCAGTAGTACCCGCATAAGTCACAGTGCAAAGGCTGGATCGTTCTCTTCATGGGAGAGAGTTAGAGAGAGTCAGGGGAAAAGGTTATGGGTAAAAACCACATAACGTATCTGATATTAATCTATTATATAAATATATAATCAGATATATAACCATATATATCAATCTATCCATATCAGTTGATATGATAGATATAGATATCATGAGTGGTTATCCAAATAAGTTTTGAATTCAAATTCAAACTTACATGGATAAGGTTCAAAAGGTTCAAAAGGCCATGCCACATGGGTGTCCAATTTCTAACATCTCCCACTCGCACATGAGTTGGCATGACACTGCCACATCTCTATCTCAATCTTCCCAAAAAATGAACAATCTCATACTAGCCAATGCACCGTGCAACTGCTGAGAACACCTGCATGTGGGAGCTCTATACTAGAAACTCAAAATGAACCAGCATAGAGACGTCAACCCAAAAAGAACAGAAATAGTGTCTCATATACCTTAGACCCATCTAATTACACCGGTCCCAAAAACATCTCTAATCCCTAAAAAAAAAGAGCATGTTTGACCCTCTCAATTCTTGCAATATATTCACACTCAATCCGCCTCTCATACAGAGCGATGTGAGTTGTCGGCAGTCAATATACAACAGTGGTGTAATACTAGATGACCTTCCCTTTGCCCTCATGCTATTTAGTTTAGGATTGACCGTTTTCCCAGTGATGTCTCTTAAGGCCGAATCATACATGACTGCAGACAACATACCAAAGTAACAGAACATCAACCCCTTATCTTATAACATAATCAAAAGTCACAAAAGGGTACATAAATGAAAGTCATATCAATAATGACACGTAAGACTCACACGGTGAGGAAACAAGGATCCATTCTCTCACCTCATTACTCGGTCGCCAAGCACATATAGTATGAATACATGTTACAGTGGAGTAACTCTTCCAAAAGAGTGACGTGATACTCGATACACCGAACAGATCTTAGTCTAGGCGCTTTCTAGCACCTAACCCGAATTCTTTATTTGCTCGCCTACCAGGCGCCAAATGAGATCTCGCATCTGGCTAATCATAAGAGGCACAACATGAAAAGCGGGTATTAACATCCATGTTTGGTTCTTATTACGACCTCATCTTGGTTGTAACCAAGGCGACATACATAGTGGATAATTTAAGCCTTTCTTGGCTCCAAATAAAAATAAACCACTAGTCTCATCCTTACTCGCTCCCAAGCGCCAAGGGCGATTGCTCGTGTGAGTGAGCTAATCTTGCCTGCTGACATCATCATTTGCTAATCATTATGACACAAACCATAATAGTGTCAACATCTCATCATCTCACAACAAATAAGTGATCGATTTTTTTTTAACAAAACACGACACAGCTTGCGCAATTCTAGATTCCAAACATAAGCCTTATTAGCACCTCTTGCAATAAGTATATACAATGGAATCCACCATGTGCGTTTCACATGAAGTAATTCAAGATCACTACCTCTTGCGCAATAACCTCTCTAAAGATATTTTGGTGACCAATCTGTGTTTATTCAAGATGCGCCTAACTAGCGCATTGAATCTTACAAGGAGCAAATTAATATACTACTAGTAAAGCATTCTATCCATAGTCTAATGAGCAAGGTCAATGTCTAAACAACTCAGTTGACTATTTACCAAAGATAACACTTATCATGCCGAATACGCCCACATAACGTACTTCAGGCTCCCACAACAAAAAAAAAATCAAGGAATATAGGTCATCTGTTTCTTCCAAAGGCAATCCGATGATTCACTCAATAGCTAAGGCTCTGGCTTTTACCGATAGGTAAGTCAATGGGTTTACAATTTTGCATCTAGAATCGTTCTAGGATATTCCTTATATAAGTCATCGAAGACAAACCAGGAATTCTCCCAAAACAATCCCTAAGAATCGTACATCCGAGCATATAAATTACATCACCCATGTCCTCATATCTAAAATAGAGGACTGCCCACCCTAGACAACCTTATAAATTCCTGGCTTATAATGACTAAGTAAGGAAAAACTTCTTTTGGACCATTGATCATGCCTCAGTGGTCTTCATCGATTATCGTTGGCCTATCACGGCTTGACAAAGTCTAAGAACCACTATTTGGATAACTGTTTTAGGTTGTAAAAGATTTATTGGAACTAGCAATCTTTTTGCGCTCCTAACTTTTCACTATAAAAGCATAAGGTAAATCCCTACGGATTTACTTATCAAATTCTCCAACGAGAAGTTGGGTCACAACGTCCACAAATCGATGTTCCGAACTTATGTCAATCATAGCCTAAGTCGAAATAACCTCACTCCTCAGGTGAAAGTCTTCTCATGGTCTACACTTTTCTCAATGGTACGACTTTTCAGTATCTAGTGAGCCTTATGCCTCAACAATGACTATCCAAAATGCATATAGCTTTACAACAGTTTCGCGTCATAATGGAAAGTCAACCAATTTATAGAAATGGTTAATCC